CAGGAGGGGTGGAGGGCAGGGAGGGTAATGTGGGTGTTAGGAGAAAGGCTGAAGGCGCGGTCGAAGAGGAGGGTTGTGAGACGGACCTCGAAGGAGGCGAGGGAGGGGGCGAGGCGGACGGACTGTAGGATGGAGTTCCAGAGGGAACACAAAACACACACACAAGCTGAGACCTGCCGAGGTTAGAGGCATCTCCCACCGTAAGATGAGGGTTTAATGTTGCTTTTGGTCAAAACCAAATAAAGAGGTTCGACATGACCCTGAGACAGTGCGGAGGAGAGCAACTCAGCACAGACCACCTCGCTTGGTATCTGAGGACTTCATTTCTCCAATAACCTGCTCTGGGGCCATCCCAGCTCAACCTCCAGCACCTTGGGACATCCTCCTGACGTGAAAGGCACTATACAAATGCAAGGATTATTATTATTATTATTATTATACGGCAGATGCTGGAAATCTGAACTAAAAACAGAAGTCGCTGGGTACCCTCAGCGGATCATGCAGCAACTATGGAGAGAGGAAAGTGAGTTCACTTTTTCAGGTCTACGATCTGAAACCTTAAGTCACTTTCCTCTTTTCATAGACACTGCCTGACCTGCTACAACAACAACAACAACAACAACAACTTGCATTTATATAGCGCCCCCTCACGCGTCCCAGAGCGCTTCACAGTCCTGGAGCACGTACCCCGAGCCAGGGGGAGTGGGAGGTGACCGTAGGCACGGTCGAAGAGGAAGGTCTTCAGTTGCGAGCTGAAGATGGGGAAGGAAAGGGGCGAGGCGGAGGGATAGAGAGAGAGTGTTCCAGAGTTTCAGGGCATAGTGGTTGAAAGCGCAGCTGCCGATGATGGAACGGAGGGCGCGAGGGACAAGCAGGAGGCCTGAGTCAGTCGAGCGGAGGCAGCGGGTTGGGGAGAATAAGTCAGGAGGTGATGAACGCATGGACGAGTGTTTCGGCTGCGTCTGGGGTACCATACGGTCAGAGGCGGGCAATGTGGCAGAGGTGGAGGAAAGCCGTACTGTCAGGATCCAGATGTGGGGAAGGAAGGACAGCTGGGATGGGGGGGGGAGGTGGGGGGGCGGTTCGAACCTGATGCATAGGTTGTGCCTAGCGACTTCTGTTTTTATTTCAGGTCTAGTCTTTTGTTGGGAGAAAGTCAAACGATGAAATGAGTGTGCGACACATCACATCAATGTATTGAACTGCTCTTCATTTCCTCTTCAATTAACTCATCCGCAGCGATAACGGTCTGACACAATCTGCACCTGATCTGAGTCACAAAGCTTACCCTCTTTATTAAGGTGATGACGGCAGACGCGCACAGTGATCGGAGACCAGATCTTTTCATTGAATTGTTTTGGGAGCAATTTATTTCGCGTTTCTCTAATGAAACGCAGCCATGTCTCTGCACTGACAGCGACCCATCCCATTGCAGGTGGATGGGTGAAAAAAAAGCATAACTTGGTCACTCAATCCACGACTGCTTGCGGGGACGCTGCTGTGCGCAATTAGCTGCTGCGTTTCGCCCACGAAATATACAGTCAATTAATTCACTTCACAGTGTATCCTGTGAAGAGCTTCGAGACGTCTCGAAGACGTGATAAGACGCTATATCGAAAGCAAGGATTACCATTGTTATTAAAGGGTTTTATAAACACGTGAAAAAGCAAAAGGCGGGGTCAATTAGAAATGTAAAGGCAAATCTCGTCACAGGAACAACAACGACGACTTGTATTTATATCGCGCCCCTCACGTGGGGTAGCGTCCCAGAGCGCTTGACTGTGGCGGAGTCTGACCCCCGAGCCAGGGCAGAGGGCGAGGGGAAGGTGACTGTAAACACGAGTAAAAAGGAAGGTCTTCAGATGGGGTTTGGAGGTGGGGGCAAGGCGGTGGATGGGGGGGGTGGGTGTTGAGGGAGAGTGTTCCAGAGTTTCGGGGGGTAGTGACTGAAGGCACAGCTGCCGATGGTGGAGAGAGGTGGGAACGAGGGACGAACATGAGGACGGAGCTGGGCGAGGGGAGGCAGCGGGTGGGGTTGGGGGGAGGTGGGGTGGGGGGTGGTGCGGTAAGCAGGTCGGAGAGGTTGGGAGGTGCCAGGGCATGAAGGAATTTGAAAACGAGTGAGAGGATCTTGAAATCGTTCGGTGATTGGGAGCCAGTGGAGCCTGGCGAGGCCCGATGTGAATGTACGGCAGAGATACCACACACACGCACACACACACACAGACGCACACACACACACACACACAGACTCGCACACACACACATGCACACACACACACACACACACACAAGCACGGATTCGCATCAGGCAAAGCGGTCATTTGTATCTGGAGCCATTGCTGGCCAGGACACAGGGGACAAACTCTGTCCTGTTACCCCAATAGCACGCTGGGTGGGGGGAGGCGGGAAGGGGGGCAATTGCGCGCATCACACGCAGTTGTGGAGTCCTGTAGCTCGGCGGTTAGAGCGCTGGCCTCACAAGCGAGAGGACCCGGGTTCGATTCCCGGGCGGGCAGGGCGAAACATTGGGCAAGTTTCCTTCCTCCAAAAAAATAGAAAAGAAATAATAAACTGGTCACTTCGCTCCACGACTGCTTGTGGGACGCCGCTGTGCGCAATTGGCTGCCGCGTTTCGCCCACAAATATATATAATCAATAAGGCGTTAATATCGAATGCAAGGATTATCATTATTATTATTATAATTACCCTGGCCTGCAATTCCACCGGACCCTGGCTCTCCAGGAAGCTTCGGAAACCACAGGCGCTGTATCAACTGCAAGTGTAGGCATTATTCGTATTGTTATTATTTATACTTAGCCTCCGCTTCGATTTGTCCGCTTATTCAACACTCTGTTGGCTTTGCTTTGCTTTGTTAAACAGTGGCCCTGCAATGCAGAGCCCCTGGAGAAGAAGAAGAGAAAGAGAGAGAGAGAGAGAGAGAGAGGGGGAGAGCGAGGAAACCCAGCCCAGCCCAGCCCAGCCCAGCACAGTGCTGATGTCTTAGGGCGAGCAGGAAAGGTGTTCAAAATTGGCAGCATGAATCCCCGGAAAATTGCTGAATAATGTAATCACCGGCATGGACGAGGCGAGTGGATTATTCGCTTGTGTCAGCGTTTTCTTCTTTAGGGAGGGAGGGTGGGGGGGTGGGTGGGGGGGATGCGCGGGGCAGAGTCCTGGCCTCAACTCCAGTGTGTGTCCTCGTTCGCCGGCCGTAATAAGTCATAAAGTTATTGAAGCTCAGCCGCCTGTGCCGGTTATTTAGCAATCTAATGGGCTGGGGCTGTGTCCGTCCTTATGCTCTCAGTAGGAATATCCCAGGCAAAGTGCTCCCTGCTGAGCAATCAATGAGGGGCTGCGTTTTTTCAAGAACGTTCCTTGTTTGCTGTTCGCTGACGTGTTTGGCTCCAGAAGCATTTCTCTTGACCCCCAAATTATCTCTCCTCCCCCCACCCACACACACACACACACACACACTCACACACTCACACCCCTCATTGCAGGTTTACCCAACCATTCATTCTTCACTTAATAATAATAATCCTTGCGCATGTGAAGGCTAACTCTTCACTTCCTCTTAACGTTCTACAGGACTTCTCTCTCTTCCTCAGAAGAGTGTTTAGGAGGAGGGAAGAGTGAGCACGTGGAGTCCTGTAGCTCAATGGTTAGAGAGATAGAGACTCGCCTCGCAAGCGAGAGGACCTGGGTTCGACTCCCAGGCAGGGGGCGAAACTTTGGGCTAGTTTCCTCACTCCACACACACACGCCCCTGGTTACCCAGCAGTAAGTAGGAACCCGCTTGTTAGTCGATTGGCGGATCGCTTTTCCGGGGGTAATAATTTTTCTTTAAAAAATGTGGTCAATCAGTCCACGACTGTTTGTGGGGACGCTGCTGTGCGCAATCGGCTGCCGTGTTTCGCCCACAAAATATACAGTCAATTCACTTTACAGTGTATGCTGTGAAGCGCTTTGAGATGTCTCGAAGATGTGATGAGTCCCGTGGAGTCCTGTAGCTCAGTGGTTAGAGCACTCGCTTTGCAAGCGAGAGACCTGAGTTCAATTCCAGGCAGAGGGCGAAACCTTGGGCAAGTTTCCTTACTCCACACAGAGCCTAATAATAATCCCTCCAAAACCACAAACAATAATAAATTGGTCATTTTCAATCTACGACTGTTTGTGGGACATTGCTGTGCGCAATTGGCTGCCGCGTTCGCCCACAAATATACAGTCAATTCACTTAACAGTGTGTTCTGTGAAGCGCTTTGGGACGTCCTCCCGATGTGAAAAGCGCTATATCAAATGCAAGGATTATTATTATTATTATTATGAGGCGTTGTATCAAATGCAAGGATTATTTATTATTTCCTTAATTCTGAGGTTTGGGGAAGAAATTGAGGTCCCGGGTATCAAGAGGAGAGGACACAGAGGGGAGTGAAGGGAGTGTTGGAGCACGAGATCCATTGGGTTGCACCTCAATAATATCCAATCCTCCCGTTGTTAATAAATTTCAGCTCAAGGTGATTAATATTGTGCAATCTGCGACTGTGTTTAGTCCTTTTTGTTTCCACCTCCCACTTCCCGTTCCCCCACTTCTCCCTCCCCCACCCACCCCCACAACGCTAACTAATATAACCCTCACCTGGGGAGCGAGACATTGTCGAACTGTTATGAATATTTTCATTATTGTGATAAATCATTTGCTGCCTACACACAATGTCATCTTTGCTCCTTAAGTGGTGTGAAAATTGAGGAATCAATTTAAACCCGTAGAATTGATTTACCTGTTACAGTAAAGGAGACGATTAAGACTGTTTGCTGAGGACAGCGCAGAGCGAAATGCAATCCAGCCTGGCTCCGGGAACCACCATCTCCAGTTACTTAACGCATCAATTCGAACGCACTTAATATGCACGCCAGCCTGGCTCAGGAAGCGCTCTCGCCTCCGAGTCGGAAAGATCTGGGTTCAGGCGCCCACGACGGAACTCGGAGCTCAAGATGGTTCCTGTAGCTGAGTTGGTAAGAAGCGCTCGCTTCCCAAGCGAGAGGACCCGGGTTCGATTCCCGGGCAGGGCGAAATGTTGGGCGAGTTTCCTTACCCCCCCCGCGCACGCTTCCGTTTACCTAGCAGTCACGTAGGAACCCGCTGGCCGGTCGATTGGCGGGATCGCTTTTCCGGGGACAATAATCCCTCCCCAAAAATAAATAAATGAACAAATAAATCATATTGAATTCAGTCACTCGATCCACGGCTGTCTGTGGGGACGCCGCTGTGCGCAATTGGCTGCCGCGTTGCGCCCACAGAATATTGCAGTCATCACTCTTGACAGCACATTCCTGTGAAGCGCTTTGAGACGTCTCGAAGGCGTGCGATAAGGCGCTCAGTCAAATGCGAGGATTATTATTATTATTGATTGTTATAGATGTCTGGACGTCATCGGCCCTGTACCGGTCTCAGGGATTAGCATTATCTTCACAGTCCTGAGCCTTTCTCGCGGCAACAGGTTGTAAATTGAACCACCGCAGCCAGGGTTGCAGGTCTGAGGGCATTGTATTGATTGTCAAGGTGATATAATTTTCTGAAATTAATTTTTTTTTAAAACGGGAGAGCGAGAGAGAGAGAGAGAGAGAGAGAGAGAGAAAGAGAGACGGAGAGAGCTGTCCAGCTAGCAGTGGGCAATCATCTTCTTCGCAAACGGCAAAAATTGCTCCCAACACGAGGCCGCCGTCGGATTCGATTACTTTAAATTCCTTTCAAGCCCCTCGCGGTGATAAAACCAACGTCCCGAAGGGAATCCGCAGTGTTGCGCTTACCGCAAGGCGAGAGCTAAATATCGGGATGAATTATTGATCGGGCCGTTTGCTGTGAGGGTCACTGCGCCTCTGTCCACTTTTATTTTCCAGCTCAGTTGATTTACTTCGCAACACAATACAATGCGAAATTACATTTACACGGCGCCTTTCACGTCGGGAGGACGGCCCAAGGCGCTGGACAGTCGGGGATTTGGACCCGAGCTGGGATTTGTGCTCAGGAGGGGAGGGTGGGGGAGGTAGGTGGACTGGCCAAGTGCGGTCGAAGGTGGGGGTCTTGAAACGAGCCTTAAAGGAGGCAAGGGAGGGAGCGAAGGCGAAGGGAATGTGGGATAATAATAATAATAAGCCTTGCATTCGATATAGCGCCTTATCACGTCTTCGAGACGTCTCAAAGCGCTTCACAGGACATAGTGAAGTGGATTGACTTAATAATAATAATAATCCTTGCATTTGATATAGCGCTCTTCACGTCGGGAGGACATCCCAAAGCGCTTCGCAGAACACACTGTAAAGTGAATTGACTGTATATTTGTGGGCGAACGCGGCAGCCAATTGCGCAGAGCAGCGTCCCACACACAGTCGTGGATTGAGCGACCAAATTATTATTTACTTCATTTACTTAAGGACTCATCTTTGCTTTCGGTCACCTTCCCCCTCTCCCGTGCCCTCTCCCTCTCCCGTGCCTTGCGTCCGAGTTTGCTGGCATGTGTGCCACTCACACAAGCTACTGGAGACAGATGGTGACAGTGGTCTGGCTCAGTGGAATCTGGCTCCCAGTGCCTTGGGGTAGGAAGGAGGAGTTGTCAGGACATCCTTTAGCAGATGTTCAGTGTTATTGGGAGTCGGGGAGTTGGTGTTCAGAGTTGTAGGAAATCAGGAGTTATTGGGAATCCGGAAATAGATATCCGGATTGATTGGGAGTCTCAGAATGGGTGCCTGGCTTTATTGGGAGGAATAATAATAATAATAATAATAATAATAATAATAATAATAATAATAATAATAATAATAATAATAATAATAATAATAATCCTTGCATTTGATACAGCGCCTCATCATGTCTTTGAGATGTCTCAAAGCGCTTCGCAGAATATACTGTCAAGTGAGTTGACTATGTTTTGAGGGCGAAACACGACAGCCAATTGCGCACAGCAGCGTCCCCACAAACAGCCGTGGATTGAGTGAATCAAATTATTATTATTTTATTTTATTTAGAAGGAATTATTACCCCCCCCCCCCCCCCCGGAAAAGCGATCGGTCCAATCGACCAGCAGCCGGGTTCCTACTTACTGCCGGGTAAGCAGAGACATGTGTGGTGTAGGGAAACTTGCCCAACATTTCGCCCGGGAATCGAACCCAGGTCCTCTCGCTTGCGAGGCGAGCGCGCTAACCACTGAGCTGCGGGACTCCACGGGAATCTGGGAATGGGTGTGTGGATTTATTGGGAATCCAGGAACAGGTGTGCAGAGTTATTGTGGATCTGGGAAGGTGAGTCCTAAAGTATCACAAGCCAAGTAGCGACTGTTGATATTAAACTACTCCCTTGTACACTGAGCGGAGAGAGAGGACCAGCGATTCTATTTGAGCAAAGATCTGGCGTGATTGATGTGATGGTCTTTGACCACTTTAGATGAACATTTGCGCCCATCGAGGTGAGCAATGAGTCAACGCTGGGGAACAAAGCACTTCTGTTCACTCCTCTTACTCAATGTCAGCCTTAACCATTGCCCATTCGAGTGCAGCGCCCGTTAGAATCAGAGCAAACGTTCCCCCACTCTACATCGCTCCATCTCCAAACGATGGCATTGACTACAACACAGCAGTAATAAATCATAATAATCCTTGCATTTGATACGGTGCCTGAACTTGTCTTTGAGACGTCTGAAAGCGCTTCACAGAATATACTGTAAAGTGGAGTGACTGTATGTTTTGGGGGCGGAACAGTTGTTCATTTCTTTCACCGGCCTTTTTGAGTATATTTTGCTGAAACTTGGTGGAGTACTGTAGCGTCACAAGCGAGAGATCTGGGTTCGATTCCCCGGTCAGGTGGAATCTTACCTTAGGCAAGTTTCCTTAGTCCACACGCCTCTGTTTACCGAGCAGTAAGTAGGAACCCAGTTGTTAGTCGATTGGATTGCTTTCCGGGTGGGGTGGGGGGTGGGGGGTAATAATCCCTCCAAAAAACAAACAAACAAATAAAACCGAAACAAAATGTGGTCACTCAGTCCACGACTGTTCGCCGGACGCTGCTGTGCGCAATCGGCTGCCGCATTTTGCCGTTTCGCCCACAAAATATACAGTCAGTCCAGTTACCAGTATATTCTGCAAAGCGCTGTGAGACGTGCCAACGACATGATGAGGCGCTACATCAAACGCAAGGATTATTGATTTACTTCCTATAATTTGAGGTCCTATTTCGCCCACAAATACTCGGTCAATTCACTTTGCAGCATATTCTGTGAAGGGCTTTGAGACGTCTGGAAGACGTGAAAAGCGCCGTATCAAATGCAAGGATTAGCATTATTTGCTTTCAGCCATAAAGTGAGCCACCGATTTTTATTCGGGGGATTATCGGCCTATTATCGGACACTGGGAGAAATTGTATTCTCTCTTGTTGCTTTGAGTTCCTGAACGTCCACCTGAACAGGCACGGCAGGACCTCGGCTTAAACGTCTCGCCCGAAAGCCAGTAACTGCGACAACGCGACGCTCCCCCCAACACTGCCTCGAAACCCCAACCTTGCCCTTTGAGCGTCGTCTTGCACACAACACGGATTTAATTCCTTTAAATTCCAATCCACACACACACACACACGCACACACGCGCTTTGTGGGAAAAATAAAGCCCAAGCCAATCTGCAAATGCTTTCACTGCGTCTGATTTAACTACTTACTCAGCAGCCTGATCTGAACCATAAAAAAAAACGCACAGCAGACGTAAAGTGATTAAATATCTAAATCATGCACCAATCTCCCAGCGAATCTTGGCAACGCACTGATGGAGTTGCGAAGCCGCCGCCAAACTGCGAATGCAGAAGGAAAGCTTGCTGGCTCCGGCGTGTTGGGAGTTTTATTCTCGTGGCCGCTCACTCCCCTGTGCCGAACTCTGGCTTGTCCCTCTCCCTGGCGCCTCCCTACCTCTCCGACCTCCTCACTTCTTTCCCCCAATCTGCCACCCGGTCAGAGCCTCTGCTCCGACCGGCTCCAGCCTCCTTGCTCGTCCCTCGCGCCCTCCGCTCCACCTGCGGAGGTCAAGCATTCAGCCACTGCGCCCTGAAACTCTGGAAACTCTCCCTCAATCCCTCCGCCTCACCCCCTCCCTCCCCACTTTCAAATCCCGCCTAAGAACCTTTTTGATCGCGCTCCCGGTCACCTTCCCCCCCCCCCCCCCCCCCTCGCTCTCCGATTAGACTCCGCCACTGTCAAGCGCTACCCCACCCCACGTGAAGCGGGGCTATATAAATGCAAGTTGCTGTTGTCGCTTCACGTCCCCGCAACCCTTTGCCTCACCATCTGTGGGCAAGCTTTCAGCCACTTTGCCCCCGCTCTCCTGAACTCTATTGCCGTCTGACTCCCACGTCTCAGACTGCACTTCCGGCTATCTCCCCCTCTGTTTTTTCCCCCTTTCCCCCCACCTCCCTCCCCTCCGCTTGTCTCTTTTCCACCCACACCTTGCTTCCTATCTTGCTCAGACCTCCAACTCTTCTGGTCTCTTAATGGCTGTAAACTCGGTCACCGTTGATGGTGCGGAAAGGGTGAAACACACAGTCGCTGTGTGTGATTGTAGGTATATACCTGTGTCTTTACAATAATAGTAATCCTTGCATTTGATGTAGCGCCTCATCACGTCGAAACGTGTCAAAGCGCTTCACAGGATACACTGTAAAGTGGAGTGACTGTGTTTTGTAGGCGAACCACACAATCTTTCTCCCCAGCCCCTCGCTGCAGTGCCAGCCTCAGCGCTGAGCTCAGGTTCCCCAATATGGGGGCTTGAACCCATCAGTGGAGTCCTGTAGCTCAGTGGTTAGAGCACTCGACTTCACAAGCGAGAGGACCTGGGTTCGATTCCCGGGTGGGGGGCGAAACGATGGGCAAGTTTCCTTACTCCACACACACGCCTCTGTTTCCCCAGCAGTAAGTAGGAACACGGTTGTTAGTCGATTGGCGGATCGCTTTTCCCGGGGGTAATAATCCCTTCCAAAAAATAATAACAATAAATAGGTCACTCAATCCACGACTGTTTGTGCGGACGCCGCTGCGCGCAAT